GGAACCAGATTTTAACAGTAAGGAGACTGCTATGCCAATTGTCAGACTCCAGCTTGCTTAGGTCTGAAAGACTGAACGGAGTTAAAATCCTGGGGAAGGAATTAGGCTCAAACTGGAGTGAAGAGGTATGGGGAAGGCTTGTACTCCCGTTATGCCATAGCATCAGGGTAGGCTGCAATGCCCTTCCATGTGTGGAGCCCTGAAAATATCCCTGGTTATTCTTCTTTCGGCCATTGTGTACTTCTGATGTACCTATTTCTGTCCTACTGTCAGGCCATATGCCATGATTTCTGTCCACTCAATTAGAAGAAGGCCCCAGGGCACTTTGGTTTGAAAACTGGCTGTATCTGATGAGGCTTTGCTAAAACACCCTCAGAAGCAGAGTCCTTCTCCTATTGCCTCCCGGGGGGATATTTGGGCCTCTGTGGCAGAGGAGACTATAAAAGAGGTTAGAGAAACTGGGTTTTCGGAGGCTGCCATGCCCATCTTGTATATATGCGCAACCATTATTCAGAGGGGATCCTGAGTCAAGGCATGGGGACAGAGACCCCAAACGGATATTGGCTTCCAAAAATGCTTGAATAACCCCATCCCTCAGTGCATTAGGAGTCAGAGTATTGTTGGAAGTAACCTGAATCCCTGGTCCAAGTGCTTTTCTAGGTGTTCAAAGGTCTGAATGAGTGGAGCATCGGGCCGATTGGAGGGCAGAAGACAATGGCACAGGATATCTGTCCCTGGTTGCTGAAGCTGGAGGAGAGACTGCTGGTACTGCTGCTGCTTGGGGTGGGGTGAGGGTGACGGGGGTGAGAGGTGGAGGGAGTAAGCGGTGGGGGAGGTGGTTGTATTGGCAGAAGACTAGGTAGGTGGTATTCATGTTGAACTGAGGCAATGGAAGGGTTAGATTAAATCAGTGGTCTTCAAGGGAGGTGTAAAATAATCCTTTGAAATGTGAAAGAAAAATTAGAACTTTTATTGTTACTTTTTTTAGTCTAAAAATAAAAATAAAAACTTTCACCAATGTTTGCTATCATACATTTTACCCTTACTCAACTCATGCATCGGGTGTCTGTGTCATGCATCATATTGAAGGCATTGTCAGTGAAGAGTGGAGGTTCTACAACATGGGGGACCGAGAAGGAGACCATGCCACCCTCCCCAGCCTAGTTGCTTTCAAAGTGTATTGCTAGATGCTAAATGCTCAGAAATCTCTTTTGATGCTTCTTACTTAATAGTACAAGACAAAATATCAGTTAATATCATTAGAAAAAACAGCTGTTCTATTTGCCATGGTTAAAGTGACTGAGTTAATACAGAGAGAAGATGGCAACACATAAAAATGTATTCTGTTGGAAGACACACAGACTTTAAAGAATAGGTTTTAGCACACCTGGTGTGTTGTGCAGGTTGGCTATATGGTTGGATGCAAGTTGCTAACACATTTCACCTTGAGTCTTTGCTATGCGTTTTGATAATGACATTCACAAAGAAATACTTTTCGCGACTTACTAAAGGAAAGAGATATGTTCTCAACAGAGAACAACTTATTTAGCAAAACATGCTGTGATTTTTATGGGTAAAAGTAAACCACTGAGGGAGTGGCTGCCCTCTGTGGGATACAAAATGGGGCGGGGTGGTTCGTGTTTTGTATGACCAGCAAAACATGTAAATGCCATAAACTCAGCAAGACATGTAAATGTTTTCTTCTACCCCTTGTCTCTTCTAAACAGCCACCTTCTGCCTAAACAGCCACCTTCCCACCCCTCACCCCCTCCACCTCTCATCCCCACTGCCACCCTCACCTCACTCCAGGCAGCAGCAGCACCATCAATCTCTCCTCCGAAACTGGGGGTGGTCGGTGTTCTGGTCCATAGGGACTACATGTGAAATTCAGCAATCACATTATTCATTTACAAACTACAACGGGAAGTTGAAGGAAGAAGAGCACAAAATACTATAGGATGTCAATAATATAATTAATTAAAAATTTTAAATATAGTAGAATCTTTATAGCACTTTGTATTGAGATGTGGAATGAAACTAAACATCTTTTTTATGATTCAAAGGTTTACTGATCATCCCAAGGCAAACAACTTGAATGTTGTGAATTTAAAGATGAGTTTCTTTAACAAAGAACAAGGGCTCCAAATTGCTGACCTCTGATGTGCTGGCCTGCGATTGTCACAAGTGTGCTACATAGCAGAAAGAAACACAAACACACACACACACACACACACACACACACACAAGTGTTTTTTTGGGTAAAGGTGATATTTCAGTAACGAACTGACATAACAAATGTGGTTTAGAAGAATTGTGCTATGGGGAAAGCATTTTGAAAATTGACGTTTGGAACTGTTTCCATTATCATGTGATTTTAATGCCAAAACAAAGCATGCCAGTGTCACCTATACTCTAATAGGAACAATCTGCAAAATGTAGCGTACTTCTAAATACATTTTACAATATTCCAAATGTAGAGTTTCAAGTGTTTTAAAAGTTCCATTTGTTAAAATGATTTGCAAGAACAGCTGAGGAAAACATTGAGAATGTTGTTTCATGGACAAAGAAGAGTTTTCACATTTGCAAAATTGGTAGATCAAATCTAAACAGTAAGAATTATGATTTAATTAGTACAAAGATATAGTTCTATTCAGGTCTATTTAATCTTTGTGAGGTATCCTTTTCTCTTTTCTTTCTTTCTTTCTTTCAATAAGAATAGCCAGTAGGATCAAGTACTGACATTAACTGAAATTACAAGTACACTTTCTGGTCTCATAAAGTATTAAACTAAGATTTAGTTAAATCATTGTTAATCATGCTGCTCTCACTAAACAGATTATTGCTAATAACTTTAAAGTGAAAGGAAAAAGGAATATGGTACCAGTCATAAAAATGAAGCCATTTAAAATTATTCTTTCATCTTGACCACATCCTCTAATTTTTTGTGTTCTTTATAATATATAACTCATTAATGCAGTCTCACATGCATTATGCTTATAGATACATGAATTGTAAGTATCAGACTATGGGGTAGAAGGGATAAAACTTGGTTACATGAGACAACTCTGTGAATGTGGTTGACACAGTGAGGACACACAGTGGGTGCTCATTAATGAAATGTCCTCTCCCAGCTTGGTGACTTACTTGGTGAGAGAGTCAAGAATGGTCCCCCATCTGTGGCCTGCATATGGGTGCGGGTGGTATCATTCAATAAGACTGGAAACACAGAAGCAGGTTCTGGTGTTTTCCCGGGAAGCAATGAGGAGTTTGGGCTGGACAGCTTCTAGGAAGCTCTAGAGATGTTCCCTAGGCAGTTAGATTCCCATCTTCAGCAGCCCTGGGCCTTCTGGGGCTGGAGGTGAAGTTCAAGAGTCATCATCAGGCAGGAGGTTGTTAAAACCATGGGAGTGGCTGAGATGCCCAGAGCGGGCCTCAGAGTGGGAGATGGGGCTGGCACGGTGGGACCCTGGGGTGGGACCACAGAGATCAAGTACTGACATTAACTGAACTTACAAGAACACTTTCTGGTCTCATAAAGTATTAAACTAAGATTTATTTAAATCATTGTTTAAATGATTTAAACAATTTATCAGCCTCTGTGGCCTTATCAGCCAGGCCACAGAGGCTGATAAGCTGTAGGTACCCAAGTATGCGAAAAATTCGGAGGTGGGGGCCGCGGGTGCCAACTCTGGAAACTGTGCACTCCAAGCATTCCAGGAAGGAAGACGTGGTCAGCAGGCTCAGATGCTGGGAAGAGGTGAGCGAGGGAGGCTGCACGGCACCCGGTGGCTTTGGCAACTAGGAGGTCATTCGGGACTTTGAGGGGCGGGTGAAGGCAGAGCGCGGAGGGTTGGAGAGGGAGCGTGTGCGTGTGGTGGTGTGTGCGTGTATTGTGTGTGCGTGTGTGCATTTTGTGTGTGTGTGTGTGTGTGTGTGTGTGTGTGTAGGTGATCCAAGTGACCAGAAGGACGCCTGGAAGAGCGGATGGTTGGAGAGGGAGCGTGTGTGTGGGGTGTGTGTGTGTGTGTGTGTGTGTGTGTGTGTGTGTTTAGGGATCCAAGTGACCAGAAGGACGCCTGGAAGAAAACCGATGCTTGCGGGCTGCTGCAGCTACAGGAGGTAAGTCACTTGTGCGGGGCCGAGACCCCCAGAGTCTCGTCCCGGGAAAAGTTCTGCGGGGAGGGGAGGACGTCGGGCCAGCCTGGGTGGCTGTGTGGGAGCCGGCGGGGCCAGCGCAGTTGAGGTCCGTGGAGCCCGGCTGGCATCTGCCCCGGGCTGCGGCGCGGGCCCTGCGGAGCCCAGGCGGCGGCGGGCGCTTCCGGCCAAGGGCCCTGGCGGCAGCCGCGCCCCTGCTGCTCTCAAGTTTCGCGTTGGCCGCGCGGCCTGGGCGCTTCAGGTAGCTGCTGGCAGGCCCGCGCCCCTCGGCTCTCTCCGCTTCGCGCCCAGGTAGGGCACCGACGGGGGCTGCGCGCGGCTGGCCGGCTGCCTCGCTGCGGAGCAGCCCCCCACACCCCCCGCGGGGCCCACCGGGTCGGGGCTCCGCAGCGCTGCGCCCTCGGAACGCCCGGCCCCCGCGCCTGCTGCGGGTCGCAGCCAGGCCCAGCCCCGGCCCTGGCTGGTCTCAGTGTCTGGCAGCCCCTCTCCGCCCTGCCCAGCGCGTCACCTTTGCTCCAGCCCTGCGGCCGGGGCGCCCCCTTCGGACCGCGGCATGGCCCTGTCCTCCGAACCCGGTGAGTGCGCGCGAGGCTGCGCTGCTGACCTTGGGCTAGCCCTGCGGACCCTGCGGCCCAGGCGGGAATCAGCAGCGCCCTGGGATCTGAACCGTGGCTCTCGCCTCCCGGCTTCCCTGCTCGCAGAGGCCTTGGCGCCAACCCCGGGCTCGTCCCTTGCCCAGTCTCCTGTCCCTGCCCCTGCCCCTGCGGTGGCCCGGGCTCCAGCGGCCTCAGGTGAGCCGGCAGCATCCCAATTCCCTGGCGGCCTAGAATGGAATCGCAAGGTTTCGAGAAATGAAGGGACCTGGGACTTTCTGCCCCTTAAGCGCCTGGGCAAGTTTCTAGGTGCTTGAGGACTGGCCAAATGTGAGCGGCGGAGGTGGACTTCTACCTGGAGGCTGGGGATGGATGGACTGGATGATAGGGTGATGAGGTACTTTAAGTTCTTCATCCTTACCTCTTTGGCTCTCTCCCGGCAAGGGAGGTGTACAGCCTTGGGCTCCGGCAGTCTCCTTTCTGCCCTTGATCTTCTGGTAGCTGCTTTGCCAGCAGAGCTGCTAATGGCTGGTCTAGGTTGGCAGAGGTCCCTGGGGAGAGTTTTGAGAGGCCTTGGAGTAGGAGAGGCTTGCTAACTAGAGTATCATTTCCCCAAACTGTATGTGGCTGAAAGCTTGACGGCGACACATTAGCAAAGGAACTGGGTGAAAGAAAGCAGGCAGCACAAGGAGGGATTTTAGCATGGTCTTGAGCACTTGTTGGCTTTCCTTCTGGATGTGGTGACCAACATTTGGCCATCTTCATGGAAAAGCTGCCTGCAGCTGGAACCCGCAAAGGAGAAGTTCTTTGCCTGGCTGTGCAGCATCAATGCGGAGTGTTAGTGGAGCCATTGAGCCAGGCAGACAAAGCCTCTGTCACTTCGCACCTCTGGAAGTGTTGACAGCAGGTCTGGAGTAGTTGGCCTGGCCTGGCTGCAGCTCCATGGGGCCTGGCTTGCTCTGAAGATGATGGTATGGGGCTTCCCTCTGTAGGAATAATGACACCTGCATGGGTGGTTGCTGGGAGACTCTGACATCTCAGCTCCATCCTTAGCTCAGCCTGAGTCTTCTAAGGTTCTCCTAGCTCTCAGCTGGGTCAAGAAGTTCTTTAAGAGATGAGGCTTGTTTTTTCTCCCTTACACTAGCTGGACCACTCTTCAAATGGTCTCAAAATCAATCTCAGCTCTTGACAATGTCATGGGCAGACAACATGTAGCCTTTGGATTAACAGGGAGATACCCTTTCTCCTCTAAATCTGCTCATTGGCCTCCATGATTCTTCCACCAGGTAAAATCATCTCTTAGTTCTTCTGTATTCTGGTTGCGTATCTAGGACAACAGACAATTGCTTTAGGCTTTTGATTTGTAAGGAACTGACTGGGGCATGGGAGGCTGAGCTCATGGCTGGAGTCCTGGCTGCGCACAGTCACTGACAAGTACCATTCGTAGGGGAGAATGATGTTCCTCCTTCTGATCTGGCTTCACATTTAAATATATTTTCCTTCTTCCTGCACCCAGATAATAAAAACTTGGAAGAGTGCCAGGCACATGATGGTGCTCAATAAATAAGGCTGAATAAAAGGATTCAGTGTCTGGATGAAATTTCATTTTCATTTTCCCAGTTGTACTCTCTCGGATCTGATATCATAGTGATGATAACAATGATGTTGGCAGATCATACTTATAAAGCACATACACTGTGCCAGGTATCATTCTAAACACTTTATGTATGCTTGTTGTCATGGCAACTTTGAGATTGGCTTTTTATTATCCTCATTTCATAGGGAATAAAACTGAGCCACAGAAAATTTATTTAAGTTGCCTAAGGTCATGCAACTTGGTCATTGTTACAACCTGTGACTTCTTAGTGGAGTTGCTACTGGTTTCTGTCTGGACCTGATGCAATGGGTCTCACACGTGTAGCTGGGCTCCAGGAAAGCAGCTGTCTCTAAGTTGGAAAATGAAGACTCAAAGTGGAAGGTGTTTCCCAAAGCCCATGCCATGAGATATTAATAGGTGTGTTTTTCCTATGACAGCAGTTCTAGGCTGGTCAAATAAGTGTGTTGGGTTAAACAAAGTTAAGCAGCTTTCTTCACTACAGGACTTCTCAGGTGTTGAATCTGCTAGTAGAAATTGTGCATGAATACTCATAAGGGACTATAGGATGCAGTGTTTTCCAAGCCTTCTGACCTTTCATGTTCTGCAGACTGCACTTTGAAAAATGCTTATTTAGACTAAGGCTAGCTGGGATCTGATTAAAGGTGCAGAATAGAATTCTCTGAATGTGTTGGACTTAAATCCTTGGGCTGGAATCCTCCCATTGCAGTCCCTACTCTACCTCCCCCTTCCTCAAAACACTAGCAGAAAAAAATCATTTGCCCCTCTTCCTTCTGGAATAATAGTACTATGGGCTTGGATTTTTTTTCTCGTGCTGTAAGTTCATTTAATTATTTATGAATAAGTATTACTCTCCCTCTAGGTTGCTTGTAGACTGCTGATTGCACTGTTTATGAAACAGCTGTGAAGACAGGTGGGTCATAATCTCTGGGTAGCTAAAGCCCAACAGCAGCCTGAGGATCATGTGTCAACCCTGTAATACTGCTCTGTGCACACAGGAATTATGATGTGGGCTCAGCAAGGCACAACCTCACGATTGGGCATGAGGAGGTGACTCAGGCCCAAGTCAGGGTTACAGCTAGCCTCCTGGTAAACAACTGACCCATCCTTCCTGGGCTCCTCTCCCCAGGATTTCAACAGCACCACAGAAATAGCCATTTTGCTCACGGTTATTTCCCAGACCCACACGATTTATCTAAGTCACTGGGAGGCCGTGTTTCTGTTCCAAGCCTTCCCACTCTCCTAAAGGGCAGATGAAGATCAGAGCTTTGCACCCTGTGATGCCATTTTAATCAACCCTGCTTGGTTTTAGAGGACTGCTCCTGTGGGTCACTTAAGGCAGGCTCCACCTTCCCCAGGAGGAGTGGCAGAATCCAGCCAGCGCTCGGAGCTGGAGGCCCACGTGGGAGCCGCCAGCGGCTGTAAGTAGGGGAGGGTTTGGGGTAGGCTCTGGTGGGTCAGTTGGGGTGTACTCCTTTTCTTTGTGTGTGGTTGGGGGGGGTTCTGGTAAAGCTTGTCAGGCTTCGCAGCCACCTGTGATGTGGGCTTCTTTCAGGGAAGAAAGGAAGGAGTGGGATGGGGCTGTCAGCTTTTCATCCTAGCCTGCCCCTTCTGCTGTCTGCCTCTGAGCTGAGGCAGTTCCCTCTCCCTGAGTCTCTGTCCTTCCCTGGGAAAGGTAGAAGCAGTTCATGGTCCTTCCCTTCCAGAGGAGGAGGAGAGCGAGGGGATTGTATTAGCAACTGGGATTGAAGCTTTCCCTGCCAGTTCTGGGGTGCGCTAGGGAGAGTTGCCTTAGGGGGTGCTTTCTGAGAAGAGGCAGAGTGGGCTGTGCCTGAGACAAATCCCCTTGATAAAATGAACCCAGTTGCCAGGCCAGGCCTGAAGTGGGTTTGGAACGGAAGCAGCAAAGGTGATGGTATCGCTCGTTGCTACTCAGCTTTCAGGAGGAGGCTGGGCGTTAGAGGGAGGCTGTGCCTTATCTCCTGCAGCTGGGTAGGATGGCTGAGTTTACTGTTGTAATGTGGAAGCCGCCGCCTTAGTTTCTTCTCGTGAGAGCTGTGAAGAGGGCCAGGACGCTGTATTCAGGATACCAAAGCCATTTTGCCTTGGATAACTGGCATTACCTGGGGACTTCAGGGCTCCTGGAAATTTTCCACTTGTATTTCATATTCGCGGAAGAATTTCCAGCCCAGGCTTTTCCTGCTCTGGTTCACTGCTGCTCGCAGATATGCAAAACAGAGACCTCCCACCACAGCCAGCAGACAGAACCCAGCCAGCTGTAGGCACACACTGACTCAGCTCAGCCTCCTGGGCGGCAGGCAGCACCTGGCCCGGGTGCATCGCTTGTGTGGCATCCTCAGAACCAGTCATGGAGCCGGGCTCAGGTCTGTGTCGGGGCTTCTGTCAGGGGAGACTGGCAAAAGTAGGAACCAGCTTCCTTTGTGTAAGAAGGGGATTTCAGTGGCACTGAGCTTCCTTTCTGGAGGAGCTGTGGCACCATGAAAAGTTACTGTTTGTTGAAACTGGCAGTGTTTTAGAACTTTCTAACTTTGGGACACTTCTTCAAGCTCATCGGAGCGTGTCGCATGTGACAGTGAGATAAGCTGTATCACTGGCTGACTGATGCCGGTGAATTCACAGTTAAGCCTCCCAAGCCTGCTGGCTTCAGCTGACAAATGATTGGAAGCCAGGCATGAACAGGCAGCTGTAGCTGTAGCTCTGCTTGGTGTCTGTAGAGTGGGCTTTCCTTGGCATGCCTGGCCTGGCAGGTTTCTGGAGGGTCTGAAAGGAGACACACTGGAGGGACGGGTTGGCAGGTGGGAGATGTCTGCCAAGAACATCCAGAAGGCAGCAGATGTGTGAGCAGCTACTAACGCTCACAGCAACCTAAGTGGGTTACTTGCTCCATACTAAGTTATAGAATGAATTCTTCTGTTGTTGTTGTTTCTTGCTTTGTTTTTTTGTTTTGTTTTGTTTTGTTTTGTTTTGTTTTTGAGACAAGGTCTTGCTCTGTTACCCAGGCTGGAGTACAGTGGTACCATCATGACTTACTGCAGCCTCCACTGCCAGGGCTCAAGCAATCCTCCCGCCTCAGCCTTCCAAATAGCTGGGACTGCAGGTGTGCACCACCATGCCTGGCTATTTTTAAATATTTTTTGTAGAGACAAGGTTCTAACGTGTTGCCCAAGCTGATCTGGAACTCCTGGCCTCAAGTGATCCTTCCTTTTTGGCCTCCCAAAATGCTTGGATTATAGGCATGAGCCACTGTGCCTGGCCTTGGAATGAATTCTCTACCAACTATTTGAGACACTGGTAGTAGTTCTGCAGAAGATTTATATGGGTTCTGTAAAACAAAAAGCGTTCTGTATGGTAATACAACTCTGATCCTGGAGTTTTTAATGAGCCTTGTGAATGTGAGTTGAGGGGCTGTGGAATGCAGCATCTCCCAATAACTGACCACAGGACCTGTTTTACCAGCAACAGGTATCAATTTCTTATGGCATCCAGTTTGGGAAAGGTAGATTTGGGAAAGCTAAAGAGAAAGGAAGATCTTTTATAGAAAGCTGTGTCCTGAAAAGTATGTTTAGTTGACTGGAGCAAGCTAAAAATGCTTTGTATGCTGGGTGTGATGGCTCACATCCATAATCCTAGCACTCTGGGAAGCCAAAGTGGGCAGATCACTTGAGGCCAGGAGTTTGAGACCAGCCTAGCCAACATGGTGAAACCACATCTCTACTGAAAATACAAAAATTAGCTGGGCGTGGTCGTGTGTGCCTGTGGTCCCAGCTACTCGGGAAGCTGAGGTGGGAGGATCACCCAAGCCTGTGAGGTTGAGGCTGCAGTAAGCTGTGATTGTGCCACTGCACTCCAGCCTGGACAACAGAGACCCTGTCTCAAAAAAAAAAAAAAAAATGCTTCATAAACAGACATGGCAGGATCTGGCATAAGAGCCCTCAGACATCAAGGACTTCCCTCCCACTCAAATACCCATCACTGAGGGAGCCTGGTGGGGGGTGTCTGGGTCATCAGGCCTGTGTGTGTCTGTGGGCGCAGAGGAGGTAGGAGGGTGCTGGTGCTGGTAAACGGCTTCTGTCCAGGGTAGGAGCTAACGCAAAATAGGTCTCAATGATGAAACTCCAAACCTGGCCTCTCACTCCTGTGGGTTAGGTGAGAGGGAGCCTTAATTGCCAAAACCTGCCAGAAAAGTAAGTTTGATTTGTTTTATTTTTCTCTTTTTTCATGGAGTCTTAAGTCTACTCATTTTCTTTCTATTCTCTTTGTATTTGCTCAAAATGGCATTATAATAGCATTCATCATCAAAATAAAATATCCTCTTACACACAGGCAGCCCTGCCATCTGCTCATTTTGAGTGTGTAAATCTCTTGCAGGCCTTGTCCATAAAGGGTTGCATTTTCCTATCTCTGTAAATAAAGCATGGGTATAATTTTATGTATTAATTTTTTCATTTACTGTGTTTTTGTGTTTAAAAATGTGATTGCACCATCCTCATAATTATAATTCTGATTGCTTAACATCTTATTTCAAGTGAGTATGCTCTAATTTGGGCATTTTAAAGCTATTTGTGTAAAGAGTGTAGGTAAATATCCTCGTGCTTTTCATTTCTGAGATTCCTTTTTTTAAAGAAATTTCTAGAAGTGAAGTTGCTCAGTCAAATGGTGTGTTGCTTTATGGCATTCGTGGCCTTTTGCCTGGGCCTGTTTGATGTCTTCCGAGATGTGAGGTTTTGGGACAGTGCCCTTGACTTACGGCCTTGGAATAAGGGGGAGGTGACGATCCAGCTTTGTTTCAGCCTGATGGAGCCCCCTGGGTCTGGTTCTTTGTGCTGTTCCAGGCTTTCTCTCCCTTGCCACCTTCTCTGATCGCCTCCAGCTTCCCTGCTGTCTGCTATCAAGACATGGAAATCTCTACAGTCAGCTTTGTTCCTCTTCCTCTTTTCAGAGGCCAGGACTTGCTGCCTTGGTGTCTGCTCCCCAGACAGTTATGTGCTGAGAGGCTCTTCCCCACTGGCTCCCTTCCACTCCCCTCATCAGGGAGACGCAGGTCCTTGGGTCTCAGAATTAAGGGAGCCGCAGACTTCGCTCTGACTGCCTGTTACTAGCCTGCTTTCCTCCTTCCTGTCTGTGTCATGACTTAGCCCCACATGCCACTCAGAGCCGAAAGCCCTCCTCGGGCACCGGAAATCTCTCTGTACCTAGAATTATGCCACTTAGAGCTGAGAGGGCCTTAGAGACCACTTAGTTCAATTCCTTTATCTCACAGATGAGAACATTGTGAGGCCGGAGAATGACTGTCCCAAGATGGCCCAGCGCGTTCCCCTCTCCTGTAGCTGCACTTCTCCCTGCCAGACGGCAGCAGGGCTCTGTCTCACCTCCATCCTTTTCTGTCTGATCCACAAAACCGCTTCTCCCTTTAAACCAATCTTAAAGAAACTGTGGTCATAGATAGACAGGAAACTTCTCTTCCAGAGCTGTTCCCAGTGAGGGTGGCTTGTTGAAAAGGGTGCAGTGTTCCATCCATTCCACAGATGTTATACTGGGGACTGTAGGGAGCCCCTGTTCAGACACCTACATGGACGAAGAGAAGCAGCACAGCATGGTGGGTAAGGGCACAGACGCAGGAACCAGGTGCCTGGGTTCAGATCCCTGAGCTGAGAATCAGAGAGGAAAGGGATGGGGGAGAAAGGCTGAGAATAGCATGAATCTCTGCTAATTTATTAAAAGTGTGACCCTGGGCATGTTAGCTCTCTATGCCATCATTTTCTCATCTGTCAAATGGAATAATAAGATTAGCTGAGTTAATAAGTGTGAAGTTCTTTGCAGATATATATATATATATATTTTTTTTTTAATTGAGACGAGATCTCACCCTGTCTCCCAGGCTGGAGTGTAGTAGCGTGTTTGTGGCTCATTGCAGCCTCAACCTCCCTGGCTCAAGAGATCCTCCTGCCTCAGTCTCCCTAGTAGCTGGGATTACAGGCATGCATCACCATACGTGGCTAATGTTCTCATTTCTTTTAGAGATGAGGTTTTGCCGTGTTGTCCAGGCTGGTCTCAAACTTCTAGGCTCAAGCAGTCCTCTTGCCTTAACCTCCTAAAGTGCTAGGATTACAGGGGTGAGCTACCACACCTGACCTCGGAGCATACATTTTTTTGTTGTTTTTGAGGCAGAGTCCTACTCTGTCACCCAGGCTGGAGTGCAGTGGTGCAATGTTGGCTCACTGCAACCTCTGCCCCCCGGGTTCAAGCGATTCTCTTGCCTCAGCCTCCCAAACAGCTGGAATTACACGTGCCCACCACCACGCCCAGTTAATTTTTTTGTATTTTTAGTAGAGATGGGGTTTCACCATGTTGGCCAGGATGGTCTTGAACTCCTGACCTCAGGTGATCTGCCCGTCTTGGTCTCCCAAAGTGCTGGGATTACAGGTGCGAGCCACCATGTCCAGCCAGAGTGTACATATTAAGTGCTATATAAGTTATTGCAAAAAAAGGAAAGAAATAAGAAAATGGAGACATCAACCAAGCAAGAATGAAACCCAACCAATCAAGCAGGTGATTGAGGTCAGTGGCTGTTAGTAAAGAACCAGTATGTGAGGAGGTAGATATCAAGAGCTGCTTTTGGGGAGTGAGCTTTCAGCTGGGTAAAGAATGTTCCTGTCCTAAAACCTTTGTTTTATTTGCTGTGTCTCGTAGAGGGTTCCAGGGGGTTTGGAACTGCAATTGCAGATTCTTTCTCTTCAGCAAAAGGTCTTGGCTTTATGTCATTAAGAATGCAGCTTTGGCTTTCCCAGGGTTCTGCTGTAATCTTGTGGGACCTTAGCTGTTAAAGCCTCTGGGCTTTAGGCTTTTCCTCTGTGAAGTGGGGGAGTGAGGTTTGATTATTGTTGCAGCTATAACAGTATCATTGTCTGGAGGAAGGAGAGCTGAACTCTCTCTTGCCCCTTCTCAAGCATGGAAACAAAGTCAGGAGGCCAGGGCTGCCAGTGTGCTGCAGATTCCCTGAGTTTGGAAAAATGGAAGCTCACCTAGTTAAACAGTTTATTCTTTGAATTTTGAACACTTGCTTTCTCCTGACACGTAAGTGGCCCCATGTGCTTCACATCCAGTTACTTATTGAGCTAATTTTGAAATTGGCATGCTGGGTTTTGTCTGGGGAATTCCTAAGTAGACAGCTGGCCCCAAGTACCAGGTGGGCCTGGCTTTCCCTTCAGTGCCTTCTCAGAGATGCTGGAGACTCAGGGCATCTGCAATTCATGAAGTTAATACTTGTCCTTCCTTTGCTAGCCGAGATGCCGCGCCAGTTTCCCAAGCTGAACATCTCTGAAGTGGACGAGCAAGTCCGGCTCCTGGCTGAGAAGGTGTTTGCTAAAGTGCTCCGAGAAGAGGACAGCAAAGATGCCCTGTCCCTGTTCACTGTCCCAGAGGACTGCCCCATTGGGCAAAAGGAAGCCAAGGAGAGAGAGCTACAGAAGGAGCTGGCGGAGCAGAAGTCTGTGGAGACCGCAAAAAGGTGTGTTCCCAAGGCTTGGCATTCGTGTACACAGAGTCTTGCAGACCCAGGCAGGCTGCGGGTGTGTGTCCTAAGATAAGGCACCTCATGGGGACTGGTATGTCCCTGGAGCTGTGTTGGTTTCTTAACCAAGACCACTTAACTCACCTCTTACTTATTGAGGGATGCCTCAGTACCTCTGTTGCATTGAAAAGATCAAAACCCACTTCATCTGCTACTGTTTTAATAACAAACGCTACGCAAAAATATACACTATTTCCAAACAGCATTTCTCTTTTCTTTTTGGAAATTTGAGGATTTCTTAGAAGACATCAATTGAAGTTCTTTTAATCATTTGACAAGAATTTTGCATTGCTAATGAACACAGCTTACTATTTGCCGGTGCTGTGCTGGGACTGGAGATGTTATAATGAACAAGATAGATAGAGTCCCTGGGTCTAGACAATAATTAAGTAACTGGAAAAATTAATTTAAAAATTACAAGTTATGATAAGTGCTGTATCAATCAGGGTCCAACCAGAAAATCAGAAACCAATGAAGTGTTAGACTTTTAATGCGGGGAATCGGTTACACAGGTGGTAGAGAGCTGAGAAGCCAAATAGGGGAGAGAGAGGCAGCTTGGAGATTAGACACAGTAGGGAGCAGCTACCACCTAGGACAGGAGAGACAAGGTGGGGTCACCCTGGAGAAGGGGGAACTGTGATGGCCTTTCTAGTGGAAACTGGAGCCAAGTGGGAGAGGTGGCAGCTACAGACATGCCTCCCAAGGCAGAGATGGGGGGAGGCAATACCTAACTTGACCCTTCCTGCACCTTCCAGGTTCCTCCAATGTCTATGGGCCAAACCTAGCCAGAATCCTGCTGGCACACTTGGGAAACACAGGAGAGGATGAGGAATGGTTCTGAAGGCAAACGGCCTCAGGAGTGGCACAAGTGCTATGAAAGAGATGAATAAGGAGGAGATGGGGTTGGGGGAGAAAAAGAGGGGGAAAGAAAATCCTTTTTTAGACAGGGAAGTCAGGGAAGGTCTCTCCAAGGAGGTGACATCTTAGCTAATGCTTCAGGGTCTAAAGGAGCCAGCTATGCGGCCTTCCAGGTAAAAGTCAGCTAGGGCAAAGGCCCCCCGACTCTCTTCCAGGAGGCCCATGTGGTTAGAGGTCTGTTAAAGGAAGAAGTGCTGTGACCAGGGCTGGAAGACTTTTGGGGCCCAGATCAGACAGGCCTTGTGCTGCCTGATAAGAAGTTGGGATTGGAGTCTAAGTGTAATGAGAAGCCCTTATCCTTTCAGTTTATCTCACCCCAGCTGTATCTAGTTTTCCACCTGCCCAGGACCCTGAAGACATCAATATTTGACATGTAGATCTTTGAGCCCTCTCTGACCTAGTTTGTGATCAGACTAGATACTGCCTCAGTGTAAAGGCAAGCCTTCTCCTTTCTTGGTAGTATAGAAGCTCAGCATTTCCTTAACTCATTTAGAAAGAAGTAAAAAGTTGACTACTGGTGTAAAGGCAAGAACAGAGCTTCACTGCTTATAAGATGCTTTCCTTCCTTGAAAGGACTGTGAGCCCATAAAGGCAGGTGCCGCTGGTAACCTCTGAGTGCCAGTCTTGTGCTGGATGGGATGGAGTGGCCCCAGCCCCAGCAGTGTGCCCATCCTTGGAGGGTCAAGAAGAGTATGACTGTAGAGACCCATATTCACACTCCATGGGTGGAACAGAAGGACTGACTTCATCAACTGAATGGTCTGCAGGACCTTCTGTGTGTTATGCATTGAGCATTTGAGACCCCTAACAATGAGAGGAAAAGGAATCCTGGCATGTTTTTATTCCCAAGAACAATAAGTTTCTGGGACCAGTTTCCACTACAGAGTGGCACTGGGCCTGAGATCTGCTGCAGAGACTGTGCTCTTCTCAATGGCCAGACTCAGGGCAAAATGGAAGATTTCTTACTCTAAGTCTGAATGGTGCTCTGTGGTTTCCAGAAATTCCCCTGCAAACTTCTCTCCAAAAACCCTGTTGTGTCCTTGCCTAGGCTGTGGTGTCTTAGTTTGCGTCTGTCTGCGCCATTTGACTAGATGCTCCTTGAGGACTGGATCCAGTGTGGACCTTAGTTGGTGGGCAGTGGGTATGCGGCTGAGGAAGACATCCCACCTCCCCATTGCCACCAGGGACACCACATCAGGGTAGCTGCAACTTGTTGGACCCCCCTCTGTGTTCTGCCACTCACTGGCATGCTCTGTGATCTTGGACAAATTGGGAAATCTCTTTGGGCCTCAGCTTCGTCCTTATCTATAAAGTGGAGATGATAACAGCTACCTTCATGGGGTATTGTGAGGAATGAGGGACTCCACAGGTGAAAGGCTTAGGATGGCGTTGGGTTACAGTGTACCCCAAGTAAATGTAAGTGATGTCTCTGACTTCCTGTTGCTGAGACAGGCAGCCACAGCAGCTCCTGCCACTGAGTGCCTGCTGTGGACTAAATACTGATCTGTGTAGGTTGCATTCATCCTTTCATTCTCACATCAAGCTTATCAAGTGGATATTCTTAGTATTCTGATTTTGCAGATTAAGAAACTAAGGCTCAGAGAAGTCACATTTACTTTCACAAAGACACATAATGAGTAAATGACAGAGCAGGAACCAGAGCCCACATCTTTTGAATCTAGACCCCACAATTCAACCAGGAGGATATTCTCTCTTTAGGCAGGGGTGCGGTCTTTGGCTCTCTGGTCTGTAGACCCTGGAATGACACTAGGTCCTGCCCCCTAGCATGTAATTGCTGCTTCAGAGTGAAATGGAGGGAAGCGGGCCAAAGCTCCCGCTCTGTCCATTGGCTTCTTTCCTGAAAGAAAGCCTGGTCCCTGGACTGTCAGAAGCCCCAGCATTCTCTTCTGGGGTCTGTGCACACCCAGTTTTGTCTTTCAGTTTCTCTGCTCACTAGAGGTGCCTTTATATGTAAATGTTCAAAAGTTAACATTTTCATGGAGGACACCCTCTCCCCTGTGCCCTCTCCATCTGTGGCACCTCCCATCTCATCTCCTATTTATTCTTACTTTACACAGAGTTCTCTAACATGGCTATCTTGTTTCCTATCCTTTGGCAGATTTAAAGAAGCAAATTAGAAGTAGGGAGAGGGGCTTCAAGAGGCAGTGTCATAGGTGATTGTGGTGATTATAAGCCTGGGCTTTGGGGTCAGACCTGTTACGTTCAAGTGGCACCCCTGTCACTTACTACTGAATGGCCTTGGTCAAAGCTCTTGCCTGCCTGAGCTGGTTTCCTAAACTGCAAAATGAGAATAATAAAAGGACCTGCCTTGTGAGAATTAAATGAGCTGATACACAAAACATCCTTAGCACAGGGCTTGGAGCACCATTAATGGTCCTGTTTTGTTATTGTTGTTATTTGACAGTCAACAGGGAGAGAGGAAACAGTAATTATGAAAAGCAGTTACAAGAATTTGAAGCACAGTAGTTTAGGGATAAAACACCTCTGAGATCATGCCGGATAATACAATGATGATCCTGAGTCACTGAGAGAACTTTAAATTACGTTCAGCATGCGTTGAGGAGGAAAGCAGGAATTATATATATATGTATATTTTAAGAAGCCAGACCCAAATCGTTTTTTTAAAAATTAGGATATAGAGGGGACAAACTTTGTTAGCTGAAAAACTTGGTTACCTAGAACAGCCATTCCCCTAGAATGTTTTGAGTGAAATTGAGAAACACATATGCGTTATAAATTGAGCATAGTACAGCTAAAGTGTTGCTGAGTCACTTTATTTTATGAAATGTGTTACAATAAGAATGGGCAACTTTTAAAAAAGTCAGGGTCATTGACATAGGAGCTTCATTTGAAACAGTCAATTTATCCTCTTTTAAAGTCAATCTATCCCCTTTTAAAGTTAGGTAGAGATTGGGCTGGGTGTGGTGGCCTGTAATCCTAGTACTTTGGGAAGCCAAGATGGGCAGATCACCTGAGGTCAGGAGTTGGAGACTAGCCTGGCTAACATGGGGAAACCTTGTCTCTAGTAAAAATATAAAAATTAGCTGGGTGTGGTGGCGCACTCCTGTTATTCCAGCAACTTGGAGGCTGAGGCAGGAAAATCACTTGAACCTGAGAGGCAAAGCTTATAGTGAGCTGAGATTGCACCAC